ATTTTTCTCACAGAAGATCCCTTAAATTTAAGTGTCTAAACAAAGTTAAGTGTCAAAAAAAGACGCCAGCAAAACAAAATTCTGTTGGTTTAGCAGTAACTTTTTACATGTTTTAAGCTCTGGCAGGAGCTTCTTCATGTCACTTTGTGGACGGTTGGTCGGTCGATAGGTCTGTCCTTGGAAAGTTGATCAAAAATGGACCCCCTAAGTTTGCCATAAAATATAACTACCCCAAAAATTTAGCAAATGCAATGCCGTCGTCAGTAAATGCACTCTGGGCGAAAGTTTTTGTCTTGATCGACGTGCATGCGCGTCTATTTTGCATATGAAGTGAAACATTCCGGAACCGGGCCAGTTTTTTGTGCACTCGCCTTGTCGGTTTATGGGTGACTTGCGTTACAAGTTTATGAAGGTTTGAATTCTAGCAAGTACCGGTAGCAGAGGAATTAAGCAAAATGTTATGCTTTCCTTTCTGTGTGCATGAATATTTTCATTTTTCATGTTTTTATTTCAAGTATTCAATTCTAGATACTGTAAGTTGTGCGCAACTTATGTGCAGCAAATTTTCCTTCGGTTTGGCAGTTCAGCTGATTTACTTTCATTTCTTTCTATATTTGTTGCAGTTGGAGAGGCTGAGAGTTTGCTTAGTTGAACGCCAGGAGCACTATGAGACATTGAATGCTAGAGCTACCAAACATGTAAATATAATAGAGACTGTCCTATGAGACATTGAATGCTAGAGCTACCAAACATGTAAATATAATACAGACTGTCCTATGAGACATTGAATGCTAGAGCTACCAAACATGTAAATATAATAGAGACTGTCCTATGAGACATTGAATGCTAGAGCTACCAAACATGTAAATATAATACAGACTGTCCTATGAGACATTGAATGCTAGAGCTACCAAACATGTAAATATAATACAGACTGTCCTATGAGACATTGAATGCTAGAGCTACCAAACATGTAAATATAATACAGACTGTCCTATGAGACATTGAATGCTAGAGCTACCAAACATGTAAATATAATACAGACTGTCCTATGAGACATTGAATGCTAGAGCTACCAAACATGTAAATATAATAGAGACTGTCCTATGAGACATTGAATGCTAGAGCTACCAAACATGTAAATATAATACAGACTGTCCTATGAGACATTGAATGCTAGAGCTACCAAACATGTAAATATAATACAGACTGTCCTATGAGACATTGAATGCTAGAGCTACCAAACATGTAAATATAATACAGACTGTCCTATGAGACATTGAATGCTAGAGCTACCAAACATGTAAATATAATAGAGACTGTCCTATGAGACATTGAATGCTAGAGCTACCAAACATGTAAATATAATAGAGACTGTAGACCGAGGGAGGAAAATATAATGTTGCTCATAAATATAAAAAAAAAAAACGCCCATTGAGCAGATTTAGGAGGGCTTTATTGTATTAACAAATCTTTCTGGAAATCCTTCATGCCACTGACTTCAATAAACCTTTATTTTTCATCTGGGGTCAATTTCAACAAGCTGTTAGGCATGGACTAATGATGTGCAAACTCGACCCGAAACCGAAACCGACCCGACCCGAAACCGACTTCGGGTCGGGTCGGTTTGTCCATCTTTTTGGTCGGGTCGGTTTCGGTTTTGCATTGATATTTTCGGGTCGGGTCAGTTTAGCCATCTTTTGAAAAAAACGAAATAAACCGAAATAAACCGAAACAGTTGAGAAATTTAGGTGATGCAATATTATTGACAGTCACTGTGACCGCAGCCCTAGTGTGGTGTGGCCACCGAGCGCACTATCAAGTTCCAACGGTATTAATTTCTCCAGTCGGATGGGACTGACAGTGAAATAGATAAGATTGTAACAGTTTTCATGATACCGTGTGTGATACCATGCGTTTGTCCAGTAAGTGGAGTTACTCTCGATCAACCCACTGAGTATGACAGAGAGAGAGACGATGGTTTTGCAAAAGAATTCATGCCACGTGGGTAAGGGCAGGCACACAAAAAGTGATCACTTTGTCCAAGCAATTAAGGCATTCGTTTTTTTTTTTTTGGTTTTTATCGGGTCGGTCAGTTCGGGTCGGTTTTACCTTATTTTTTGTCGGGTCGGGTCGGTTTGAGGGAGTTCAGATCGTTTTCGGTTCGGATTCAGTTTATATCTCTAATGTTTCGGGTCAGTTTGGCCTGGTCATACCCCCCTTACCCCCCCCCCCCAATCTTTTTTTACGAAGTGCCTTTTTTTCCTGAACAAGTGCCCTTATCAAAAAAGAAGTGGTGCCCTTTTTTGTGGCATCTGCCGTTTTCAGAATTTCGCACATGTATCGCCCTGAAAAGCACCATATATTGGCCCTTTGTGTGCATAATTGTCGGTTTTGAACAGCGCCCCCATCGACAGATTGTACCCCCCCCCCCTTTTTGATTTTTCTCCTGTTGACTCTTCATCTTGTGGTTTATTTTGATGATCAAACTATCTTCTGTTGCTTATTTTGGTGTCTGCAACCTTTTCTTATTTTGGTGTCTGCAACCTTTCAAGAACTTATTTATTGTTGTGTTGCAAAACAAGTTGACATTTGAAGAGTAATTATTCCATAAATAATGTGTGCCAAATTTTTAATTCAAAAGTGAGTAACTTTTGTACTGTTAGAAAAATAACAATTTACAGGCGTGCAATTTTTCCTCGGATCAGCTGATTTCTTCGTTTTTTACTTCTCATGAATGCCATTACAAAATGAAAAATACTGTACAAAATGTTGTGTGGTTTGGAGTTACCTCGCTTTTTCTAAATTCCCAGTTGCAAGCCTGAATTTAAGAACATCAATTTTTGTTTCAGGGTGAACTCGTAAATAGCATGGACAGTACATCTAATAACTATATGTCTGTTAGAACATATAATTGGATCAATGAAACTGCATTCACTGTTTGCACTCAGATGCGCGTGTTGGAAGACAACTGGCACAAGGCAGATGCTGAGGTGTATCGTCTGGATGAAGTATTTGATCATTGCAAACAGGTAATTCCTTATTTAATAACTGACAGCAAAGGGGAGGTGATATACATGGCTATTGTCTGTGTGATATGATTGAAGACATCATACTTAAAGGGAAAATACAACATTTGCAAACATCAAAAAATAAAACTACCAAATCATTTTGAAATACCTTGCTGAACTGTTAGTGAATGACAGTGTAAAGCATCCTGTAAAATCATGGCACCTGGTATACTGTCATTTTCAAGAAAAGTGGTATTTTTGTATCAATTTCCAACGCTGATCGGCCGATCAGCGTTGGGAAAAAACTGGCTTTTTTTCAAATACTGGCCCCAATTGACCATTGCACTTGTTTGCAATCGATTACACACCTATGAACGGGTACAAGCCAGCTAGACTGGTTCCCTGACCTTACAATTCCCCAATGTACGTAAATTGCTCTGTTTCTTCTTAAATGGAGTCAGGGAACCAGACTACAGGAAAATTGTTGTTTTTCTTGGTTTTTATAGCATTTTTGAACCAAAAACCTCAAAAAAGTCAGTGTAACTATATTTGCTATATATTTCCAACCCCCAATTCCATCCATTTCTGAAAATTACAGCAAAAGCAAATGATGTATATTCCCTTTAAGAAATTAAAGCAGTCAAAGGAAACTCAAGATATTTACTTTTGTGACTGTGCACTCAGTTTGTATCGGGGTTGAAATAGCTTAAAGGGCCTTTTCAGGCACCTATGCTATATGTCTAATTTATCTTTATATTCAGTCGTCATATTGCCATTTACAAGGGTGTTTGAGACTAGAATTTTTTTGGCTTTAGTCATAAATTGTTGTATCAGTATGTGAAAAAAATCGAAGAAAAAGTCTATGCACAAATGTTTTTCAGTTACCAAAAATGTGGGTTCACAATTTAAACAGAAAACCCTTTATCTGAAGAGTAACAACACAGAAACAGCGCCCTCAGTTGTCAGGAAAGCATGGAATGTTTGAAATGTCCACAAAAGTCGCTTATTATCCTTTGTACTCGCTGCTTTATGTTCATTGGTTTGTTTTATGATATAGTTGATGGAGCAAGTTCCTGTCACAGGTGATGAGCATTCAAGCATGTCTGCATTGAGGCAACTACTCAGCTGAGTTATCTGCCTGAGTCAACACACACACCACCCCTTGCGGACACTGCTTTCATCAGGCATGCAACTTTTCCTTGGATCCGCTGATTTCCTCGTTTCTTACTTCTCAAGAATGCCAGTTTTTGTGTAATGGCATGCCTGATACAAGCTATGCTTTCAAGGTTTTGCCACCTCTAGTGGACTTTATATCTTGTTCAATACTTATATTATTTTTCATTTCTGTCATGAAGAGAGAATAAATGTGTTTGAATTGAATTGTCATGACAGATTGAAAAACACTGTACAAAGTCGTGTGTGGTTTGGAATTTCCTCATTTTTTCTAAATGCCCCGTTGCATGCCTGTTTCATCAAGTTTCCTTTGGCATTTGTTCAGTGCTTGCTTTGTAGTTTTACGCTGTATATATGTTTACATTGTAGCCTGGGGTATGTTAATCACACAGCTCTTTTTTACTACGACATGTTTTCCCTTGGAGCTTCAGTGATACCCATGTCACTGTGCTCTTCTGTGTTATAATATACTGCATTGCGAACGGAGACAATGTCTGCTGAGAGTCCAAATGATTTTCAGATAAAGGAAACATGGTGCTTGCCTGTGATACACACGAGGTGATGGGATTCGGGCTTGACCAACATTGCTATGCTTTATGTACAGTTAGCCAGTGTAGCATGTTTTAATTCATTTGTTTAGTCACAGAGTTGGATTTGAAATGAATTGTTCATTAAGTGATGTAGGTATTCAATAGATGTGTTCAACTGTTCATACAAAAGTTGAAAGTAGATTAGAAGGTAGCCAAACAGTGCTGAACTCAAAGGCCTTGTTTACACTTTTGATAAACTTAATACCTTTGGCATGGTAACAAGTTAAGGAGTTTGTCATGTGTTTTTATTTGTATCAAACACAAGTACACCTTGAAGATGTTCCACTTTAAAGCTGGAGTCCATCATTTGCAGCTATCCAAAAAGTAACTGGCGTAATTCTTGTTGAAAAGCATACTTGGTTGAAAGATAGTAAGGGAACTAAACTCCCTGTGAAATTTTTCTTTCTGGCAAGATGTCATTTTGAAGAAATCACAAAAGAAGGCCTTTCCAACGGTGCTTCTTAAGACGCACTGATCTGACGAATTATAGCGACCGCACGCGCCTGTGAAGCACAGGCGCGTGCGGTCGCTATAATTCGTCAGATCAGTGCGCGACATCGCGTAGCTGCGATCGGCTCAGCGAGAACGTGTCTCGGACGCTGAATTTAGGCCCAATTCAAAACATGATTCAGCAACTTTTGATTTGAAATCAAATCCTAGAATGCTGTTTTTCTCGGAATATACAGCTGAAGCTGAGCTGAAATTTCATCAGGTTAGTTGTTCAATACCCTTCTTTAGATTTTGAGCACGTTTGTTGCTTCAAATGAACAAAATGCACAAATTACAAATGATGGACTATACCTTTAATGTATTTATTTACAACAAACTGAATTGATTCCTTTATTAACCAGTTTTACCTCTTGTGACAATCAGTTTGCAGTATGTACATTTAGTTGCTCCACTTTGTGTCCATTTATTGATTTCATTTATTAACTGTAGTGCAGCTCTGTATTACGTTCTATAATGAAAGAAGGTTGAAACCACAGCAATTGGAATCTACTTGAGAACAGTACGATCATCCTTACAGAGATTCTTACAATACAGTTCTGTTGGATGGGCACAATACTTTAAATGTGTTTTAAGACTCAATAAGTTGAACTATTCCTTAGAAATAACTAGAGTTTCATATTTTTCTCAGATGAACATTATACTACACATCACATAGAGGTTCAGAATTCAATGTGAGGGAGCAGGGTTTATTTTAATAACGGAAAATCCATTTTGAATATTAATGATCTGCTGACAAATTGAACAAGGCCTCATGATTAGTATCAATTACTGGCTACAAACTACATGTATGTAAATCTGCACAGGATGGTTGTAGAACATTTTGTCGAAAAAAAAGTTTTGTAAGCTATGTACTCCAGTATTGCTAATAAACCATTGTTCTCTTCAAATGTTCCATGTTTTGAAGTTTATTGTACAGTTGAAACACTTCATAGTCTTTACACTTTTTCTTAATACAAAAGTATAATTGCTTTTTTCATGGTAACGTTGAATATCAAAGTGAAAGTTAGTTATAACATCATAAAATTCAGTTCACATTTTTTTCCTTTAAAGAAAACCTGCCTTTAATAAAGTAGTGTTTGGATTATTGTTCAAACTGAGTTTAAAAACTGATTTTATTCATTTCACGTACCACACTTATGCCACAGACTATGCTCCAACCACAGCCTGTTTAAGGAAATCAGTGCCAATTAACCCATGATCGAGTAAAAACAAACAAACAAACACCCAACAAAACAAACAACAAACAAACAAACCAACAAACATAATATTCCCTTTAGTTTCCACAGCCACTAGTGTAAGTACAGTATTTCTCACTTAATATGGTCATTAACACGTTCTGTGCACTACAATGTACAATTATACACACTGTTTAGGCCTGGACAACTCCAACAATGTTGGAATGGGATCCCATTCTGTTCAGAACTCCAAATTGCACCAGCTTAACAGGGAATCCTAAATACAATACACAAATGACCAAAGTAGTAAATTGTTGAGAGGTGTCTTAGTTCTACATAATTAGCTTAGCTCTACAGCATTTGCCTCTTTCTAGAAAATTGCACAATCTTTGAACTCTGTCAGGCGCTGGCTGTAATCGACTTTTGGAAAAATAGAATGAGCTTCTACTCAGTGTTGAACCGATAAAGCCAAATGACTGCCAATCCAATAATCCATATTTGTTTGCAGTATTGGTCTGATACTGATACCGATAGTCATATCTCAATACGATTTAATGAAAATAAAAATATAAAGTTTTCAGCAGGTGAATTGGCCTCTGTGGCCTAACAAGTCTGAATGTGCAACTTAGTATGTTCCAAACCCAAAGTTGGCCAGTAAATGACTGAAGATTTAGCAATACATGTATACGTGTATGTATCGATTTCTGTTCTTTGACATACATATGTACATTGTGCATGTGCTCATTACATTCTAGACTGGAATTCAAGCTCATATAGGACCATATTGAATATGGACTACTGACACACAGGCCCAATGTTCATAGTACAGTACATGTATGGTTCCCTACCATTTTCTTTTGCTTTATTGATTAAACACTAGCTACTACTGAGTCGATTCCTCCATAACAGAGCATTTAAGATTGCAGATAGGACTTTTCGAAGCAATTCCTTTTGATTGTGGCACAGTTGCCCAAGCCTAACAATGTCCTTTACATGTTGCTGTCAGTGATTTCGTTGTAGTCAACCATGTCCAAGACCATCCAACATGTCTGCTGGTACCTTGTCTCCAGGATGGAAATGATTCATGTCATGTGTTCTTGAAACCTAAACAAGACAAAACATAATATCAATAACATTGAACTGTGATGAATGAAAGAAAGCAATATATGGATTAAGTGTATATGTAGCACAAAAGCAGTTACTTGGACCAATTATTGAAAAGTGGGATTTTGGGCTCCACATTGAAAAGGACATTGAATAAGGTTTGCAATGATGTATAGAATATGGGAATTGGACAAAATCAGAGAAAATAGAAAATTGGTCATTACAGTTTTCCAAATGAACTCCTTATTGTCACGCAGATTGGTGGACAATATGATGGAATTGTTCATGTGATGATAAAAGCATGAAATTTGGCACACAGGCAGAGTATGTCATGGAAAAGATATTTGGCTATAGGGCCATCGCAGATTTGTCCTTTGAAAAAATATCACAGAATAACATTTCTTGAAAATTTCTTGTTATCCTATGATATTTTATACAAAGGACAAATCTGCGATGGCCCTATAGCCAAATATCTTTCCCATGACATACTCTGACTGTGTGCCAAATGTCATGCCTTTATCATCATATGAACAATCTTATCACCAATCTGCTGTACTATTAGAAAATTTACAACTTGACTTCAGTTAGCAAATGTATGTATTATTCTAGCTTCTACCATCTGAATTTCGATAACTGTTTGCCTGTACTATGTATTATAGGCTGCATCTTGAATGACAGCCGTGCGACTCCTGACTGGTTTTGTACTGGATGGAGGGTCGTATATAAGGACTGTGAGATGACATTACTGTCACAATTGATGAAGTACTTTTCTAAATTATACGAGTCAGGGTATTAACAAAAACTAAAAAAGTTGGTACCACAATATAATGTCTAGTTAAAGTTTTTACTGACTATCAAAAAAAGGCTGAAAAAGAATTGACTGGTATGAGGATAGCGTTTGAGAATTTGGAAGAAAATCGAGGTTATTTTTTGTGTGTAAAATACAGACGATAGAACTAAATAAGATAATTTCTAAGGCGCTCATGGGTCATGACAAATTCAAATAGGCTACAGTTTTCCCAGCCAATGACCTCAAATAGGCTACAGTTTTCCCCGCCAGTGGCCTCAATAAGACTACAGTTTTCTCAGCCAATGACCTCAAATAGACTACAGTTTTCCCAGCCAGTGGCCTGAAATAGGCTACAGTTTTCAGAATCCTATCAAACCTTGCATGTGTATCAGCTCAATGTGTACTTACTGATGGTAGCAATCAGCAGCTGAGTCTCTCTTACAGGCCGATGTGTATGCCATCTTGTACAGCACCAAGAATACCAACAGGTGTAGGATTATCACATAGAAGAAGGCTATCATTCGGGCTATCTTATTGGATAAGACCAGTCGGCCCTGCAAGCATGTCACAGAAATGAAAGAATGCTATCATATATGTAATCTGATTGGACAAGGCCCAGCAGCATTGCAAGAATCAGTCGGAGTGCATTCCAATCAGACTTGATATAACTAGTTTGTCTTACAATACTCACACAGGTTGTCATCTGATGAATTCTGAACCTGCCCTTTTATCTTTCAATGTTTAAATTTATACTCGACGTCTCTATTATTCTACAACCAACCATCACACCTTCATATCCATGAAAATGTATGGTAGACCACCAACGCACGTACAAGGCAAGATAAACCTCTTGCTTTGATACAGTGTTCCAGATTTGAGAAGTTTGAAATCTGCCTTTGTCATTTCCTATTCACAAGTGAAATGTTATTTTATAATTGACATTAAATGCTATGGTTAATTTTAGTATTCTTATAAAGCTTTCATATTTGTATATCCAAATGCATCAATACCAGTTTGGAGGACAAAAAGTGGACATCTGCTTTTCTGTTGTCAGAACAGCAGAAAAACAGACTGAGCGTTTTCAAAGGTTCCATTTTTCTGCTTTTTTGCCTTTCTGCTACCAGAAAAGCAGAATTTATATTTTAAAATTCTGATTTTCTGCTTTTCTGCTTGCTGCTATCTGAAATGCAGGTTTTACTTTTTCCTCCTTTGTTTGCAACCGAAAAGTGGACCTCTATTTTTCCCTTGTGCAAGGAGCAGAAAATCAGATGGAATGTTTTCAACATTTTTATTTTCTGCTATTTAAAGTCAAATTTAGTCATTTTTGGTTGCACTTCAGGGTGCTGGACAGTTTGTACATACCATGTTGAGAGTCGCCTTGTCAAAGGGGCTGAGATTCATATATTTACGCTGCTTCTCTTTCCTGCTGAATGAGTTGAATGGGTCGAGGCGTTGCTCATACTGAGTTGAGTAACGACTCTCGGTATCATCAGGCCCAGTAGAACCCTATATACAATGCACATACAACGTTCAAATAACATTCATTTTTGTACTTGCATACAGTGCAATACAGGGATGACCCATGTTTGTCTCCCTACTTGATGTATCTTTGGAAAAATGACCACAACAAGACTATTATACAGGGTGGATAAAAAAAAAGAAACCGAAATATTATTGATAATTGGAGCAGAAGTATGGCACATGTGAATCAAAGGGAGATATCTTCTGTTAGGTTTGAATCTCCTCTTTAAAATGACACCCCGGTCATGTCATTACATTCACGATTGACTGAGCAGTGACCAACTTTATGAAAGGGTCTATTTAGTGACTTGCGCCACTTTTCATGGTGAAATCGCTTTTTTTCCCCACCTGCCTTGATTGGCAACCATAACCTTTCACTCTGTCACAAATGACACAACAAAACCCACAATTGAAAAGTGGCACAAGTCTCTAAAATAGACCCTTTCAAAATTGGTCACTGCTCAGTCAACCGTGAATGTAATGACATGATCAGGGTGTCATTTTAAAGAGGAAATTCAACCCTAATAGAGGACATCTTCCTTTGATTCACATGTGCCCTACTTCTGTTCCAATTAGCAATAATATGTCGGTTTCATTTTTTTTATCCATCCTGTATACAAGAACACCCCATCATGAGGCTTTACTCATGCCCAAGTCCCAATGTCAGGTTAAACAATCCCTCCAATTGTTTGGTTTGTGCCATAGAAAAAGCCACTACCTTGCTCTTTTTATAGCTTTGCAAGAATCGAATCTTCTCATACAGCTTGATGTTATCCGTACGTAGCTTGTCAGTTTCCTCTTTCAGTATGTTCACCTGTTGCTGGTGCTGTCGATTTTCCTGTAGGAAAAAAAAAAAACAACTTCATTTTAAAATCATGCATTAAACACTTACTTGCCACAAAAAAAAGGAAAATATGTACAAAAACTGAAGAGATTAGTATGTACAGAATATTTATTTGATCCATACCTGTTAACTTGTTGATATGTCCGGTGGTGATGTTTTAAGTAGTTTTCTTGAACCAATATGAACAGAGTTCTTTGACTTTAAAAAACCTCAAAGTTTGCCACTTTGTTTTGGCCACTCTTTCAACGTCTGCCCAAATAATTAGACCCATTAATCAAACTCAAGTGAGATTCAGGGCATCATTTTATGAGGGTTAATCATAACTCACTGCTTCTAGTTCTTGATTGCGTAGTCGGAATCGTTCCCTCTGACTAGATACAATAGGTAGCAGGGACTCTGCAGCACCCTGGTTGTTGTCTGACACGGACTTGCCTGAAACAAGAGAGTAAATCAAACCACGGATGGATCAACCATTGATCAACTGTCCATGGCATCATGGTGGATGGTTATCATACAGAATCACAACAGTCACTAAGTTGCCCACAGGTGTGCTCACAGAGTTACCAAGTTAGCATTCATAATATAAACAGAATGCCATCAGTGTCAGTTCATACTCTGCATGAATTACATTTTGGAATGTCAACAATTGTAATTTATTTTTGACATCTGACATAATACAAATTTGTTCAGCTCTAAACTATGCATTATTATGCATAAAATATATAACAGGATTTACTTTCATGGTATTGTTGAGGTGATTGCTACTGATCCAAGTTCAAGTTGGATTAATCCTTTTAATCCTCTACCTTGAATACCTCATTCTACAATGCATGTCATGCGATCCTGCACTTGGGATATCCCGGACTATGTGGATTATGTGGAATCTAGCTGGAGCTGTTTTCGTGTACAATGGTATATAATACATGTACATAGATGGGCTGAAACGATGAAGAGAAATGTCGACTTACACTTACCTAATGGCACTGTTTCTCTGACTGCCTCTGCAGCAAAGCCTGCCTCAGTGCTTGACGGGGTTGCTTGACCCTAACAAAAAACAACATATCATATTAATAACAATCTGGAAAGAAATCCCAATGTCGCATACCGGTATATTCAACAGTTCTGCTGAAAGTTTAGACACTTTTCTGTAAAATTTTAGGCCCTTCATCCACACTATCGAAAATGTGTGTGTTTGAGAACCACTTTCCACAAGCAAGAATCAAACACGGCATATGCACAAGTATGGTCTACATGTACATGAAACCCCCAGCTCTGGTCAGGACAAGAGGTCTGTTTAAATCCAGGTAGAAAATTGTTGAAGTATGGCTGACCTACATGCAAACCCTAGGTCTGCTCAGGGTGACCCATGTTGATTTTAACATGGGTAAGCAAATTATTCTTTGTCTGGACATTTGTGTGTGTGTCTTTGACTCTGGATCCATATCTGCCCCTGTATGACAAGATAATGGCAAGACTTCATACTGACCTCACCCTCCCCTCTGACATACATAGTAGACAGTGTGTTGACACTCAGTAGGTCCTTCTCCAATTTACTGATCAACTGTCTTTGTTCATCCGAGGTTCGGACCACTTCAGTGTGTTGGGCTTGCAGCTCACTGTAATGCTCTGTGATAGAAAACATGAACGACACATCCGGAATAAATCACAGTCATTGATGGACTTCAGACCTTTGTCGGTTCGGAACGTTGAACCTGAAATAGGCAGGGAGGATGGATTTAAAATTCATAATGTACTGGCAATAGCTCCGTTATATGACTTCTAGAACTTTCCATAGGAAAAGATGTCAAATTCTTCACCCATCATATCAAGTTCAAAATAATGACACTTTATATGTTAAGCCAAAATCCTGGACTATTTAAAAACGAAAAAGAAAACAAAAACTTTATACAGGTTTTAAAGCAGCATTTATCAAATCAGCATTCACTTTTTTTGTGTAAAGTGATTGGTCAAGCCTTGGTGAAGTGTTCGAGCAGCTTGCCCATTACCTCTGAAGACTAAGCCAAATTGAATGCTCAGGCGGAATTTTCTTAAATTGAATGCAGACATTTTTTGAGTTATGTACACATAATGAGCATGATCACATGCTCCTTAATGCTTTTGAATGTTTGTTTTACTGAATAAATGTATATTGCTGCTAATCATACAATTTTGTGCCAATCTGAATGACACTGCATGAATGTTAATGCTAATTTGATGTATTCACTCAGGACCCGAGCTGTTATGACTTTTTAGCCTCGAGCTTTGCGCATCTTTTGATACCAAAAACATGAAAATCGGACCACGGGTTGGCACGTAGCGAAAAATTTTCCGGCGCTACGCGCCATGAAAAATGAATTTTCGCATATACGTCGTGTACACCGAGCAGAATTGCCATTCATACATATGAATAATTAATTAGCCATAATTCCAAAACCCTTTGACCTATAGTCATGAAATTTCTTGGGCATGTTTAGGAAAGTTGCTCTATGCATGTGCTGAGTTTCAAAATTTTTCGTCACTCGATGGCCGAGATCTTAGGGGGGGGGGGCGGAATCCGCCCCCCCCCCCTAAGATCTCGGCTGAGAGTTGGTCAAAATAACCCGGCCCCTTTAGGGTTAATACCTACCTTTGTCATAAAAAGCAATTTTTGTCCTTGGACTGTAGATGATTCTACAATTGAGGTGTCCTTGAGGAGCGAATCATTTCCTATTTTAAAAAGTTGAATTCCCTCTGATTTATGTACTTTGCATGCCAAAGTGAAAATTACGGAATTTAACTGACAAGTTATCATGGTAATGCACATTTCAACATAAACAAACAATTTCTGAAATACGGAATTCATTGATACCATTTTCTGAAAAAAAAAAAAAAAATCAATGATAACATGTCAATGATAACTTACTAGGGAAACGCAGATTTCAAAGATAACATAGCAAAGACAATTCAAAGATAACGGTAACTTGGATTGTCATATACGCTTCCATATGTATGTCATGAATGCAGTGCAAAACACCCCCCCCCCCAAAAAAAAAAATCAAAGCAATGAAAGATATCAATATTATCATTTGTAGCTAAGGTTTTCTTTTTATAAACAAGCAAATATTCCGTTAAGACATGACACAAATAAACACATGCACTTACACTGAAAGGTATTCAATGGTAGTTGTACAATTTTTAATAAATACTGGGGAAGAATGGGAACATGTACAAGTGAATTGTGGGAAGACAGGGTACAAAAAGTGAACCGCCTTGTTCTTCCCAAGACAACAATATCAAGAATAGGTCCTAAAAATGCTGTCGACTAAGAGTATATGAGACAATATAAAATGCTTTAGTCTGAATGCTTACCATGCAGCAACAGATACATGTATAATATAAGTAGGATTGACTGGTTCTGGCAAGATAGAAACATCTGTAATTCTCTTTGTAATGAAAAACTGTGTTGCGATATCACAGGAGTACAAAACTGTATGTACAATACATGCATGATAAATAGTGACTAACACTTCTACAGGGATCGCATTTCATATAGTTTGCTATAGTCCTCATATTTACAAAGTTTTAAAGTGTTCCAACAATCAACAATTAAAGGATTAAGATAATTAACAAAAGATACACGTAAAACTACAGACTTGGTTCAGCTATAGGAGTATACATGCATAAAAGTCTAACTGTTATCAACTTGATCAACTACTGTTTCTTGAACTGATTGTCAAAATTAACTGGGTGATATGGAAAAAGGAATACAATCAAAATGCAAAAACAGTGATTTTCCCTGCTTTGACATAGTTAGTCCAGCCTGCTGGACCCTAATAAAGGATCTTGTACAATAATTCTAAATACAAGTGATGTTGCAAAAAACTTGCACTATCTAAATTAACAGAACATCTTCAAATGTTTAAAAACATGGTTGTTTTCCGATATCTGATGGCAAACATGATTATTATAATCATCATACATTTATCTTTTTTTTTAATCTATGACTCACTAAAAAATCAATGACAAAATATTCTTTGATAATAATCCAAAATACAATGTATTTTACTCTTCATGTTACTTTTCCCAAACATACTTTTGAATAACTTATGCATATGGCCCATAAAATTGCCGGCAAATTACCCCTCCCCCCACAAAACAAAAGTTTACAGTAATGAACCTCATTTTTCCAAGCCACATACATTGTAAATGTATTTCAAGCATTTTTTTTTTTTAGAAACTAATTGACTTTTTCCCTTCAAATACATGCAGGTAATCTTTTACCTTGTAATATATGATACAATTACAATTATAAAAATGCTTCAAAACTCCTGCCAATAACAGGAAAGAAAGAGCCAGTTATTTTGTCCAGGTCTGTGCCCAGTCTCTTCCTCACATCCCCGACCTCTTCTTGAGAGAAAACAGCCAGGACATTGCAGTGAGTCCCATTTCAATTTGGCAATTAATTCCAATGGTATCATAAAGCTAAAAGTCTATCTCTTTGAAAGACATTAATTAAAAGTTGGGCGCTTCTGTGAAGTAAAAACAATAAAATAATACTGTAGTTTTCAATGTTTGTTGGTAAATACATGTATGTAATACATACTCATTATTGCACTATAGGGTGGGCTTAATAAAAATAGCAAACTTTGGTCCTGCCTTTGAAACATACATGTACATGTAAAACTCAAACAATATTTTAAAAGGGAAACCGAAACAGCAAACAAAGTCAGATACAACAGTTTACATAATACTTGGACAGAGAAGATTATTTTTAATGGTAACAAAAGAAATTGAGTTTTGCTCTTCAAATAAATATTAGGAGAATAAGTGCCAAATACTGAAAGCGTGTGTGGGGACTATGACAAGTGTTTTAAGGTAGATTATAGAAAGTAGAAAAACACAACATTTCAGTTAAATGCATTTGCTTGCTTACAGTTCACATGTCAAATCTGTAATGATTACTCCTCTACGAAGTTTGGCCAACACAAATAAAGCCCTAATACCACTATCCTTCACTGATTCCATAAAAAATCTACAAAAAACCCCATATTTCAAGGTGCGGCACAGGGCCCAGGGTCTTTGAGCTCCCCTAGCCATCTTGGGGACTTATTCATTTTCATTGAAGATTAGCAGCACATGTTTATGAATACTATTTCATAAAAACTAACACTGCCTATGCGGTACACAGCTACATATCATGTCAACAAACCATAAATAATATTGCTTGATTAACATACAATGTACTTGCTAAGAGTCACTAAGATTCCAGTAATAACCAACATATTCTAATGGCATTTTTGATTGTAACCTAAAAGTGTAATGTCATTAAATTAGCAACATTGTGTGTTTAACAGCAGACACACTCACAGCACGAAAGAGACAAAAAAGACATCTCTTTAGATGTCAATGGTTGGATCATGACCTCAAGATGACCGAGTGAACCATGCTATGGACTTCATACATCAATGTATGTGCATCTGGTACTTCAGAGGTAACAATGCAAAACATCAGTATTAATGACAGATAAATAAACACCACATGTGTAGTGCCACCCATGCTCAGGTACATTCCTTCCATGCTAAAACACATCACTCACACGTACAGACAAGTAAGCGTACATGACGTGCCCATCCTTGGCTCAGGTGACTAGGCCACCCAATACCCATTTACAGTTCCTACTAAGCACCGTCGATATATCGATATTACTCGATTATACTATATTTATTTTGATATCAATATTGCCGATTTTTTTAATCATATCGAAATATCGAAATTTTGATTTTGTGAGGAATGATATCGAAAATATCAAAAGTGCGTCAGATTATCGTCAAATAAATCTCCGTTTGTGCTTTTACTTTGTGTTTAACATTTGCCGTACATAATGAAACAAAACTCGGCGGCAACTTGTGCTTGTGAATCAAAATAAAAACATCTTGAAATGCCAAGCGGCGTCGCTTTGTGCTCTGCATTCGCTGGAATTTGCGGTCTCCCCCAACGTAAAACCGCAAAAGAAACCGCTCGTTCTGGATAAACTGTCAGTGCTGAGATTTGTTTTAAAAAGTTTGAGCAATATGCTCCAGAGAAAGCCGTGGAAAATTGGGGACTTAACACTGTTTTTTTTTTTTTTAATCAGAGTGTCATCTTTATGGTCTTCAACTTTTTCACAGGATAATCGATATATCAGATATTCCCGATATGGATTTTTGATATATCGATTATTGAAAATTCTAATATCGACGGTGCTTAGTTCCTACGTGGTGTACATAGACGTAGGAAGATTAGAATTCCCACTCATCTCCAGACCCATCCCGCACCCCACTCTCTAACTTCTGTAGGATACTATAAGCATCCTTCTCACTCATCTTGTTCTCAGCCACACTCATTCCTCTAGTATCCCCCGTCGGTTCACGTTCTCGTCTACTTGCTTTTTTCCCTGTCGACCAGCTCTGGCTCTCTGTGTTGGCCAGGTGAAGTCTTGCCATTCCTCACTGCCTCATGATCAGAGGATTCGGAGCTAGCCTGGTGGCCATCCCTCTTTGGATCTGCATTGTTTTAGCGCAGGCATCCTGATGTGATGGTGAATCTACTTTACTATGACTACTAGTTAGATCAGGTGTGCCTTCAAGCTACTTGTCTCTATTAACTGTCCATCAGTGGTTTCTAAAACCACTGCATCAC